TGGCAACTGGACAATTAAAACAGACATTGGCGGGGGGAAAGAAGAACGAACTGGGGATGAGGGTGGAGAAAACAGTGCAACAATGAATGAGTGAAAACCCAAAATCTCTGTAAATATTCATTAAAACTAATAAAAAAAAATCCTTGATAACCTTTGCATGACTAGACAAGAGTTCAGCTAAGTAAAATGACTGAGCCTCAGCCCTAGTGGAGTTGTCTTCAGACTTCAGTCTTCTTTTTGGGCCTCCCAGATCACTCTGCCATCATCACCTCCACCTGTGAATGACTACCCTAAGGATCTGGGATTTCTTGAGCTCTTCACTATTTCTTCATTTCAGTGTCTTTCCTAAATGAGGCAACTATCTTATTCTGTAGAGAAGGAGGAAGAAGGGAAGTGATGGTGTGCTGTAATCATGAAGACAGTACTGAAATGTAATTCAATAATGCAATCTGTGTGACTAAGATGGTTGTTAACTAAACTGTGCCCTTCCTTAATGAAATGCATTCTTTCTGCTCAGAGAAGAAATAAGGACTTCTTTTAATTCAGAGCAGAAAATAGAAAGGAAAATGGAGATACATTCCCTTCCTCACACTCTCAGGCCTGAAGGCACAACCTACTCCTAAGTGAAGAATCATAAACTCTCAGGTTGGCATCTACCAAGCCTTATTCTGGCAAAGTTCATCCTTCCCAGTAACTTGGGTGGATTCAATGAGCTCATTGTTCTCCAGCTTGGACAGAAGAACAATATGTACAAACAGAAGAGCCAGTGCCAGAGATGATCTTTGTCCACACCATCAACTTGTTAGAATAAATAATGCCTCAATACACATTGATTAGAAAATGGCATATTAATCATCCAAACATTATGAGCTCATTATACCCAGATACAAGAGCTGAAGGAAGAGGCTGAGCCAGCAACCCATGACATTGTCAACATGAGCATGGGATTTCACTGAAGATAGGGCAGAGAAGGACAGGGTTCACCATTCAGATCAAAATGAGGACCACAGAAGAGCAGCGAGAAACCAGGAAAAAAAGGCTGGAGACAGCACTGAGGGAATGACCAATGTCCAAAATGGAGTCTTCATATTTCTCATCTTATTTTTGTTGCTGCCTAGTAGAGAAAGGAGAGGAGATCAAATGCTTGTTTACCACCGTTTCACATGCCCTTCTCACTGAATAGACTCTTACTCATTCCATGAATAGGTATCATGGTTTTCTTCTTACAGATGAGACAAAGAGATAATAAATCACTTGTATTCACGTTCTTGTTAGTGTCTGTGCAGTTGGCCCATGATTCATAGCAATGTCATGCATATGCAACAAACATTCCCTAGTCCTGTTCCATCCTCATGATCAATGCAGTTTGACCCGTTGTGACCCACAGCATTTTCATTGACTGATTCTTAGAAGTGTATTGTCATTGTTTTCTTTCAGATCCATTTTGGTGTGGAAGTTCCACTAAAGCTTGTTCAGCATCATAACCACAGTTGTAAAATCAACACCCATTTTCCTTTCAAAGACTATCCATTTTAAAGTATGTTTTTGGTTTGGTTGGGTTTAGTTAATTTTGTTTCACTGGAAGATAATTTTTATTATGACTCCTACCAGCTTCATAATCTACTCGTGGCATTAAGCACCTTCTTTCTTCGCAATCTTGTCTTTCTTAAGTGGTCCCATAAAGGTCTTCTCCTTCTCCATAGTCTGAAAGCGGCCATGGCCATACATGGAGGTGATGTCAATGAGCTTGCGATAAATCTCCAGAGCCCAGCATTTGGTCTGTACCAGCAAGGACTTGTAGAAAGTCAGCACTTGTTTTTTGGTCCCCACCATGTGGCCTTTCAGTATGTCAAAGTCATTTGTCACTTCACCATAGTGGACAAAATCCCCGGAGGATTGATGCCCTTATCATAGTCAGGGGAGGCATTGTTTTTTTGTCAGCTTGCCATTCTTGATATGATAGCCTTGGCTAGTCTTGTAGATTTCTTTCTCGGTCTCTGTGCAGTGGATGGTAGCCCTTCTGCCAAGGATGTACCACAGGGAGGGCCATGTGTAGCTCTCAATGGGTCTTGTGTAGCTTCATGGTGTGCCAGAGGCTAGTAACCCCACTGTAGGCCTTGTCCTTGGTCATTCTGATGACATTGATCATTTCATCCTGACCAAACACCTGACTCACCAGCACCTGCTGCTCCCGCTTCTCTCGGCCCGGTCCAGCTTCTCTATCACTATGTCTCTGCTCACCTAGGTCTCCATCAGATGGACTGCCTTCTGGCTAAGGGGAAGCAGATACATTTGGGTGTGGGCAATAATGCAGATGACCTGGCAGGACTTCTTCATGCCACTGAAGTCCTCTTCTTACAGTTTCTTGCCATCCTCATCCTGCCCTTTCTTGCATTATTTGGTGAAAGCCTTCTTCTTAGACTTGTGCCAGTTCTTAGAGAATCATCATATGTACTCGTCACTAATTTGCTCAGCAAAGATAGTCTTGGCTGTGCAGAGGCCACAAGGGGTTTCCAAATAGTCAACTATGGCCACAGTCACCACTGAAGGGGAGTGACATCTCCACAATGGGCACAGCCTCCCTACTTCCTTTCCATTCCAATTGGACCTTAACCTATCCACCCCCTATATGATGTGGTCTTGTAGCCCAGGAAGACTGTGATGTGGACAGGCTGTGAGGTGGCATCATCCTTGGAGAAGCTCTTCACATTCCCACGGTGCCGGCTGCAGTGTTTCCAAGGCAAGAAGCTCAGGGACCTGTGTCAGGGATTGGAGAACTTCCTGTGAGACACCCTGTCATTGATTGCTGGCAGTCCATGCTATAGGTTTTTTAAGTCTCTTCTACTTATAAAAATAATTCTCTTTTGGATATCAAAGAGAATTATTTAAATTATTAAAAGCTTTCAGAAAAAAATAATTTTTTTAAAGGAGGGTTTGTTTGGTTGGACATAGGGTCACTATAAGTCAAAGGTGATTCAAAAGCTCCTAACAACAACAAATGCCAAAATTTCCATCTAATCTCATTTTAAAGCTTCCTTCTTTCTGTAGCTGACTCAGTTTAGGCAAGAGCTTGAAGTGTGTGAAAAATTCTTTCTTTTTTTCTTATTGCTTGTTCCTCCTGACCTCTGAGTCATTCTGGCTCAGAGCAAGGGAGAAAGGACTCGAAGGTTGTCAGTTCTTTATTCTTGGATGATAGTTCTAGCAATAATCTGTGAATATTCTGTGTCACAAGCATCCAAAAAGTTCATATGTCTTAAGTTCTCCAATGACAGCATCCAGGAGACTTCTACACACAGTTCCATGACATGATTGAAGGACTCCTGGTTAGCCTTTGGTGAACCAGCTCTGTGCCTGCTCCTACTCTTGCATCTTCGTCCTTACCCTTGTTTTCCCTAGGATTCTTTAAAAGCATCTAGGCATCCGTTTGATCCATAAAAATCTCATGTACTTTTGACACACCAAATGTAAAGATAGGCTTCCCACAACCATGTTTCTCTTCACCCTGCTATATTGGGTTACTCCAGATAATCTCCTGATTTCAGAGCCAAAAGCAGACTTCACAGTTACAAGCAGATCTCTGCCTTTAAGTTCACATTTGGATCTAAACACCCAAGGATGCATGTAAACATCTTCCGAGGAATTGGAAGATCCTTCGCACTTTTTCTTTTCTTTTTTAATGGGAAAGAAAATAGCTTTATTCCATCCAGGGTCGTATCTGGCTCAGAACTTCTGGAACTGCTTCTTGGTGCCCGCGGCCTTGGTGACCTTGAGCACGTTGAAGCGCACGGTCTTGCTCAGTGGCCGGCACTCGCCCACGGTGACAATGTGGCCAATCTGGACATCTCTGAAGCAGGGAGACAGGTGCACGGACATGTTCTTGTGACGCTTCTCGAAGCGATTGTACTTGCGGATGTAGTGGAGGTAATCTCGGCGGATGACGATGGTCCTCTGCATCTTCATCTTTGTCACCACGCCAGACAGGATTCCCCCTTCGGATGGAGACATTACCAGTGAAAGGGCAATTCTTGTCAATGTAGGTGCCCTCGATGGCCTCCTTGGGTGTCTTGAAGCCCAGACCGATGTTCTTGTAATAACGTGGGAGCTTCTCCTTGCCAGTTTCACCCAATAGCACTCTCTTTTTGTTCTGGAAGATGGTCGGCTGCTTCTGGTAGGCTCCCTCAGTCTGAATGTCCGCTATCTTTCCGGCCGCTTGGAAAAAGGCGAACCTTTACACTTCTATAGCTCACAGGGAGCCCGCTGGAGAATGCGAGTCCATTTCTCCCATCTTGTTGTAGTTGCTGGTTGCCTTCGAGTCGAGCACAACTCATAGAGACCCTATGAACAAAAGTCCTGAAGCACCTCTACAACCATCGACATTTATCAAAGTTCATATAGTTTGTGGGAGCGTGTTGTTTAGGAAGTGGATGCCATTCCTCAGTCTTCATGCATGGTAGATGATCCCCTGGTATTGCACAGCCCAGGACAAGAAGGATGTCCTTGGAGAAGGGCATCATGCTTGGAAGGGTGGAGGGATGACACAGGAGAGGAAGACCCCGATGAGGTGGACTGACACAGTAACTGGTGCTATGGGGGTTGGTGTGTCAGAATCAGTGAGACTGGGTCAGGACAGGGTGAGCTTCAGAGCTGTTGTACATAGGATTGCTGTGGGTCGCAGGTGACTCCACAACAACAAAGTAAGAATACAAATAGAGGCCCAACTGCTGTATCAGGAAGTATTTACCAGTTATAAATTAAGCTAAACATACTTTTTAAATAGAGTACTTTCTAGCCTTCTACCTTAACGATTACACCTCTGTGACAATCCAGAAGGCCAGTTTGAATTCTAGATTCTTGAACTCTGTTTCTTTTTCCACCCCTAACATCACTTCACAGAAGAGAAGGCTTTGAGCACACGTGCATTTTACAACCTGGACTGTACATCCAAGATGAGTCTTCATGCCCCAAAAAATGCTGGCTCTTAAGCACCTCTCCAATTTAGCTGAACATATTGGTAGTGACACAAACTATATTGACTGGATGGAGTTAAAGAGAAGGTTCTGGAAGTGGACTTGGGAGTTCTGGAAGATCTGGACACCTGGAACATGATGGGGAGGTGTAGGTTCCAGGAGTGCACAATCCTTTGGTCCCACAGATTACTTGGCCCACAGGATGGAGTATGCTACAAGAATCCTAGAATTGGTCTCCCTAAAACATGAAGGCCAGGGCCTAGAATGGTTCTGAAGCCATGGGCTTTGCTTATCTCACTTGAAAGGGCACCATTATGACTCACTTTGTTGTTATGTGCCATCAAGTCACCTGCGACTCATAAAAACCCTTTGTAAAACAGCTCTGAACGATGCCCTATCCCTAAGCCAGTCTCACTGACTCATAAAAACCAAATCCCATTGCCCCAGTTACTGTGTGAATCCTGGGTCTTCTTCTCCGGCGCTGTCCCTGCACCCTTCCAAGCATTATGTCCTACTCCAAGGGTTGATCCCTCCTGGTCACGTGCCCAAAGTATGTGAGACAGAGCTACAAAATCCTAGCCTCCAAGGAGAAACTTGGTTTCCGCCTTTACAAGATGGACCTATTTGTTCCACTGGTGGTCCATGATATGTTCAATACTCTTCTCTGGCATCACAGCTCAAAGGTATTAATTCTTCTTCTGTCATCTTTAGTCATTGTTCAATGCTCTAATGCATGGAAAGTAATTGTGAAGACCATGGCATAGGCGAGATGCACCTTAGTCTCTAGTCTGACATCATTGCTCTTTAGCACTTTGGAGAAGTCCCTGACAGTGAAATTTCCCAACTCATCTTTGATTTCCTGATAGAGTGTTGATTGTGAAGCTGAGCAAGCTGAAATTGTTAGCAACCTCAATCTCTTCTCCAGCCATCATGGTGTTGTCAGTTGACCCAGTGGTGAGAATCTTTGTCTTCTTGATGTTGAGCTTCAATCATATTGAATACTATACTCCTTGACCTTCTATAAAAAGTGTTTCCAGTCCTCTTTGGTTTCAGCAAGCAAGGTAGTGTCAACTGCGTTGGGTAGGTTGTTGATGAGACTTCCTCTAATACCTATGCCACATTTCACCTCATAAAGCCTTGCTTCCATAATGATCTGTTCTGGATATAGAATGAAAAAGCATGGAGACAGGATGCATCCATGAAGCATCCTTTCCCTGATTTTGAACCAAGCAGTGTTTCCTTTCTCTGTTCCGAGGACTGTTTCCTGGTCCATGTATAGGTTCTGCATAAACAACACATTTAAATCTTGCCCTATCCTATGCCATTCTCACAGCCTCTGCCTTTCTTAAGTCCATTTTTGCAGTCACTATGTCAATCTATATCATTGGGGGTCTTCCTCTCTTTTACTGACTCTCTAACCAGCATGATTTTTTTTCACCCAAGAACTTGCCCCTTTTGACAACATTCCCAAAATATATGAGGCTAAGTGTCACTATCCTTGCCTCTAAATAAGTAATGCTTTGGTTGCACCTCCTTCAAGACAGACTTGTTTATTTCTTTGATAACCCATAATATATTCACTACTCTGCCAGCACCACAATTCAAAGGCATCAATTCTTTGATCTTCCTTATTTGCTTATGCAACTTTCAGTTGCATGAGAAACAATTAAGAGTACCATGGTCTAGATTAGGTGTACCTTAATCTTTAAACTGACATCCTTTTCAACATTTTCAAGAGATCCTTGGCAACCGACTTTTCCCAAAGTAATATGTCTTTTGGTTTCTCGATGGCACCATCGGAAGGTGAAGAAAAGTGCCACTGCCTTCTCCTCACAGACCCTCACTACTTGCATTAGTTTCTTGGGGTTGTTACAACAAGGTACCACAAGCTGAGTGATTTAACACAACAGGAATGTTTTGTCTCACCATTTTGTACACTAGAACTCTGAAATTAAAGTGCTAGCAGATTAGACTATCTCTGGAGATTCTACAGGAAGACCAACCCTGGCCTCTACCTAGCTTCTGGTGGTCCCTGGTAATCCTTGGCATTCCCTGGCTTGTACGTGCATCACTCCAATCTCTGCCTCTGTTGTCATTGGCCAGGCCCCCTCTCTGTTTGCTTCTCCACTTTTCTTATAAAGACTCCAGTCATATTGGCTTACAGCCTACCCCACTCCAGCATGATCTCATGTTAACGTAACTAATAACATCTTTAAAGACCCTATTTCCAAACAAGGTCACATTCACAGGTACCAGGGGTGAGGATTTCAACATATGGTTCTGGCAAATACAATTCCACTTACAACACTATTCAAAGTGACTCTTCTGCTTACAGCGATGGTGTGGGATAGTGGGGCTGAAGGGCAAATGGCCAGTTTGGTCACCTCTTAATAAACGCTGGAGTGACTAGTCAGCAGCTCCTTGGCTCCTTTCATTAGGATACGGAGACACTTATTGCAGTTGTCCTCAGCTATGGGACTTTAGCCAACATTCAGAGAGATTCAGTTACATCAGGTTACAGAACGGACACACAGTACTAATATGACATGAGATTTTAGTTAAGCATGGGGTGTTTTACACGTCCACATTTTAACACTCTGTGAGGAGGGACAAGGGTAACAATATGGTGCACACATGGGCAGCTTTGAAGCCTGGCTTTACTGTATGACAATAGTAAAGTGTGGAACTAGTTCTGTAGCACATGCGGATGAGACACAGACTCCCTGCTCAGGGAAACTCCACAAAGACTTTGAGAGAAAATGTCCAAGCCCATTTCATACTAACAGAAATGCAGTCTAACTTTGATGAGCTTTCAACTCAGATAGTGATACTATTCTGAGGTTCCACAGTCAGAAGGTCCTCATTACTCCATCGCAAAAATCATCCTGGATTGTTGTTTGGTGTTACATGCCATTAAGTCTGAATCAGCTCTTAGCTGATTTCCAGTGGACTTTTAGAAGCTATAAATCACAGAAGAGGAGATTGCCCATCTTACTCCGGCAGAGCAGCTGTTGGACTCAAACCATGTGCCATTGGTTTGACAGCCCAACTCCACACCACTAGGCCACCAGAGCTGCTTCATAGTAGGGTAGCAATAGCTAACATCTCCCCAGTCCTAGAATGCTCTCATTTCTTCATGTTATGAGAAGTAAGTGTTCAAAAGTGTGGTCACACTCTGCTGCTTCACAGCTTCCTCTCTGCCCAGCTGGGACCACATGGCCTACTGCCATCTGCAGACTCCATTCTGCTCTGGTCTCTGGCAACGTGCCTCATCCTGTTAGGAGGGAGTTGGAGAACATTAGCCTAATACCTTGACTCTCAGAAGGGCACAAAGAAAATAGGACTAATTTAGAACTGGAGCACCAGGATTTAAGTTCTGATCCAGCTACTTACTAATGGTAAGGATTTTCAATGAATCAGTGAATTTCAGGACTTCATCTGGAAAATGAGTTCTTTCATCTGGAAATGTGAGATATTAAAACCGGCTGCTTGCCTGTCTCCCTGGAGAGTTGAATGAACTCACAGCATCATTTGTAGCTGTAAATTTTGAATAGTTAGTGTTATAAAAGCAGATTTTGCCTAAGAGCACCAACTCTTTGTTTACAGTCTTTTGTTCATGTATATGCCAGGGGTTGTTAGAATCATGACTTTGCTTAAACTAGCAGACAAAAAAAAAATCAATATAATAACCTGAGGAGAAAGAAGTGTAGAATAATAACAACAACAATGGCCTCCTATTGTTGAGCATTTCCATGTCCCAGGCACCATGCTGATACTCAGAATCATCTCCTTTAATCTATCTCACACTGCACAAGGACCATTAACACACCTAGAGTGTTTCAGGAGTGACATCCACTTCCTAAACAACATGCCTCTGGAAACTATATGAACTTTGAGAAACAATAGCTATCAAAAGGCTTCAGCCCATGGGGTCACTGTGAGTCCCTGTGCTACTCGAGGTAATGATCAACAACAACAACAACAGAGTTTCTGCGCTCCAACATGATGCATAGGCTGAATTAGTCTCCTTATCTGTAAGCTAATACGTTCCAAGATACCCTCCTATTGGGCCACCCTGCTCCCCTCTCTCATCTCATCCTCAAATAGGACTTTCTTGATGTCAACAAAATGCCAGGATCTGACCCTGAACTCAACCATTACGGGCCTTAGTTGCCCATTTTCAACTCAATTTCCATTGAGATTCTAGATCTGGCATTGGAGGGAGATCCTTCACAACTGGACTCTAATCCTGGTGATTATCACACAGACCTCAACAGACAGAACTCCGCCACCCTGGACTTCCTCTGGCAAGCACTGCTGAGGAGAACTTTCCCCTCAATATCTTTTCTGGCACAAGCTGAATTTTAGTTCACTGGGTCGCCCAGTGGTGGGTCTCCTCTCAGGAGACCAAGTCTTCTAAGCTGGCACTTTGTGGGAGCTCCACTCTCACATTGACAAGGCTCTCTTAACCTTTGTAAGCTGGCACGGGAGCCATTTAGTTCACCCTTTACATCATTGTATTTATGATACCCAACGTGGTTCATACCAAAGTATCTGGGTCAAACTTTGAGATTGCTCAATACCATGGCATTCAAAGAGGACATGCCAGGGCATGAGACCAGACAGGACTCTGCACTGTGATGTCTAACACTGTGTCTCTCATCTCTCTCATTGCCATCAGTTAAAACTGACTCCAGCAGATTTCTGTGGGCTGTAAATCATGCAGGAGAAGAATGCTCATCTTTCTCTCTCAGAGCTATTTGTGGATTCAAACCTAAATGTTGTGAGGTGAGAATCGCAATATTTGTTGTATTTCTTTCAAAAGGTCATCCTGAGGTTTAGACAAGATGTGAGAGTGCATACAGATTGTAACAAGCAACATGTAAGAATCATGATGGTTGCAATTGCCTCTAAGCCTAACTTTAACATTGTACTGAGGCTCTCTTCCTCTACGTTTAAAAACTGGGCACCGTTCAGCCAAAATACATATGCCCATGTATGTACTTTCCCTCCTTGGCCACTCAGCTCAAAATCAGTAAGCCAATTGTCAGTCAGTCAGCTCTGACTCACGGCTCCCCCTTGAGCATCAATGTAGAACTGTGCTTCCTAGGGTTCTCATTGGCTAATTTTTCCAATCACGTACTATGCATTTGAGCACTGGGCAATGAATAGAGATGATAGGAGAAGAATTCACACATTCGACTTATGGGGTTGGAAAAGAGCGTTGAACACCCCACGGACGGCCAAGAGAACTAAGAGATACGTCTTGGAGAGCATGCAGCCAGACTGCTCTTTGGAGGCAAGAATGATGAGGCTTCTCTTCACATACTTTGGGCATGTTGCTAAGAGGGTCTATGATGCTGGGAAGGGTTGAGGGTTGGCGAAGGAGAGGAAGACCCTCAACCACGTGGATTGACATGGTGACTGCTATAATGGGCTCTTGTGTGTCAGGAAGTGTGAGGACGGCACAGGATAGAAGACGGTTCTGATCTTTTGTTCATAGCGTCACTATGAGTGTGACTAGACTCGACAGAACCCAACAACAACAACAATTTTTCAGAAAGAGATCACCAAACAGACCTCTCTTCTAAGACACTTCTGGATGCACTCAAACCTCCAGAGTTTTATCAGCAGCTAAGTGCTTTAATCATTCACACCATCCAGAGACCCCTGCCCTGCCCTGAGGTTGTGGATTCATGTTTCTCTACACCATGTGGAGAGAGGCTGGTGTAAGGAATGTTCCCTTGCATGCCTTTTCCCTAAATTAAAAAAGGTTTAAGGGGCAAGCAACTGGGTTAACCAAGGAAATCTTGTGTTCAACTTCTGACCTAAAAGCTGGTAGCTTGTGATTCAAATTTGTGCAGCAGCACTGCCGAAGAAAGGTCTGGTGATCTACTTCCACGAGGATAACAGCCAAGAAGACTATGGAGCCATTCTCTCGGTAACACATGGTGCTGCCTTGAACTGGAATCAACTCAAGGGCAATGGGGTTTAAGCTGTAGGTGGAGAGACAAGGGGTCTCTCACACACAAACACACTCAAGTTGTGCTCCTTTTGGGAACAGTGAGGCCTCCCTATCTGACAAAGAAATGGCCTTCCCCCTCATGTCCACCAGCACTCTTTGGATGCAAGTTAGAAGAGAGCCGAAGAGGGCATCTCAAGGTTCTAGAACAAGCACAGCCAGCTGTGGTTCAGGGCCTGATTCGGGGACAATCCCCACTTGTTCTCCCACAAGACCCACAGGCCGCTCCTGGGATACATTCCCAAGTACAGAGCCTCTCTCACCTGTGTGTACAAAACCTGGCAGAAAGGAAACCTTTTGATATTGCCAATGGCTGTTTCTGGGATCTGGGCTCTTCTCTTCACTTTAATCTTTCCCACACAAGAAAGGAGAAGCTGGGCCAGCTCTGAAGACCTGGCCCATTTAAGTGGTGTGATGCAAAGCAGCTTATACTTACCTGCCAATATTGCTTAGGGGGCTGAGGGGAAAGATGATAGAATTGTTTATCTTTCACAAAAACCCAGAGGGCAGGAACAGTCAAAAGATTAGACTGGGCAGCTTTTCTGGCAGGGATGGGATGGTAAAATGGAAAACAGCTTCCTGATGCCGCCATGAATCAAAGTTTTAAAAACTTTTACAGACATTTATCTTTACTCCCCAAAGTAGCTTCAGGGGGAAGGAGAATGAGTGATAGATTAATTTTTCCATCCTCGCCAATCTTTATTTGCTCCTCCCTAACCACCCCCACTCAGTGAGGCACTCTCCCTGCCTAGAATATCCATCTGGTGTCAAAACCGAGGGCCGAGCAGAGGTTCAAGAGAAGCAGCTGGAGGGGCTGGACGCAGCCGCAGCCAACGCTCGGTTAACAAAGGGAATCTTGGGAGTATTTTTCAAACCCGAGCCACTTGGCTGACTGCTGGGTAACGGTGGGAGTGCGGGGGTGGAAGGCTGGAGGGAGGGTGGGAGGGACACAGAAAGAGATCCAAACAAGTGGATAGGCTCAGAATAAGGAACAGGAATGCAGCAGACAGAACCGGCCAAAGTACATGAGAGAGACCTCATATGAAACAGGAGAGCAGGGAGAAGACAAAGGAGGAGAGAGCAAAAGAAAGTGTTAGAAATGAGAGGCGAGATAGTACAAGAAGGCAGTGTGGGATGAGAGGAGTTAAAAAGAAATATGACTTGAAGAGAAGCAGAAAGAAGCTAGGGAGAAATTCCCATATGGTAAATGGGCCATGTCTTAGAAATTTGTTTACAATATGTTAGTTTAAAACTGAGGACTCAGGTCTCTCCTACAACATTGAATCACCTGCTAACCAAGTTCCTAACACAGTCCACAACACCAGGCCCTCTTGCATAAGCCTGAGAGCACCTTTTCAAACTCTGCACCTCAGATACCCTCACCCTAATTCTGACCCTGCCACAAAATTCTCAATGCTCTTAACCGTGTCTGCAAGTTAGAATTTTCTGAGAAATACTTTCAAAATGCCTATACCTGGGTCAGACGAATTCAATCAGAACGTCTGGTAGATGGACCCTAACTTCAAAACCAAGACCCCAGCTGTTGAGTTGATCTGACTCACCGTGACTCCATGGAGTACAGAGCAGAGCTGAGCTTCCCAAGGTTTCCTTGGCTATATAATATCTATAAAGGCTGACCTCCAGACCTTTCTACCATAAGGAGAACCCACAAGTGGATTCAAACTTCCAACTTGTAGGTTAGCAGCCAGTCACCAGCTGACTGTGCCACCCAGCATCCTTTAGAAGGACTCAGGTGGGTTTTTTTTTAAGCACCCCAAGTAATTCTGTTACACAGTATGGGCAGGGTTTAAAATCACTAACATCATCTAAAAGCCCTGGGTGATGCCAACAGCATGTTCGCTTACTAACTGAACATTGGAGATTAAAGCCCATTCAGAGGTGCCTCAGAAAAAAGACCTGGTGATCCACTTCCAAAGCAGCAACTGATGGAGCAACGCAGTGGAGCACACTTCTGCCCTGACATGTATGAGGTCATCGTGAGTCAGCACCACTGAACCACAAGGAGTTCATCTAACTGACGCCTTACTTATTATCCTTGAATCAGTGCCGACTCAGCCGATCCTTCAGCGGGTTTTTAGAGACTGTAAATCACACGGGAGATTGTCCATCTTACTCCTGAAAAGCAGATGGTGAATTCTAAACATGGTGAAACTCCTTATTACAAGGCCACCATGTAATTCTTTTTTTTTTTTCCCTTTCCCAGAAGGGGGTAAAATGAGCTTCCTGTATTTTGTGAATAATAGTTTTTAAGGGAGTTCTCCTGGCATTTAACAGTGGATCACAACAAATTGTAGTTAACCTTAAGGAGAATGGGAATTGCAGAAAATTTGAGTGTGCTAATGCGAAACCTATACTTGGACCAAGAAGCAGTCCTCAGAACAGAAAAGGGAAACACTGCATGGTTCAAAATCAGGAAGGGAGTGTGTCAGGGATGCATCCTGTCTCCATACCTTTTTAATTTTTATGCAGAACAGATTCATTCAGGAGCCTGGGCTTTATGAGGAGGAATATGGCATCAGGATTGGATGAAGACTCATCAACAATCTGTGTTATTCTGATGAGACAACCTTACTTGTTGAAACTGAGAAGAACCAGAAGTGCTTGCTGCAAAAGGTCACAGACTGTACTCTTCAATATACATTGAAGCTCAACATCAAGAAGACAAAGTCTTACCAGTGGGCCAATTGGCAGCATCACGATGGATGGAGAAGAGATTGAAGTTGTTAACAGTTACGGCTTACTGGGCTCCACAATCAACACTCTTTAACATCAGCAGTCAAGAAATTAAATGATGAATTGTAATAGGTAAATTTGGAGTAAGTGACCTTTCCAAACTACTGAGAAGCAAAGATGCAAATCTAGAGACTTACGTGGGCCTGATCCAGGCCATGGTCTTCACAATTATTTGTTATGCATCAGAGATCTGGACAATGACTAAGGATGACAGAAAAATTTATGCCTTTGAGCTGTGGTGCTAGAGAAGAGTCTGAACATGCCATGGACCACAAAAAAAAAAAAATTAAAATAAAATAAAATGGGTGTGTCTTGGAGAGGGCGAAATCACGTTTCTTCTTGGAGGCTAGGATTTTGAAACTACACCTCACATATTTTGGATAAGGACATCGTGCTCGGAATGAAAGAGGGACAGCTCAGGATGAGATTAATTGATACAGTAACTATGGCAATGGGAGTAGGTGTGTCGGCGTCAATGAGACTGGATCAGAACAGAGTAGGCTTTAGAGCTGTTTTGCATAGGGTCACTGTAAGTCACAGGTGTCTCAACACACATAAAAAGCAGGAAGTTGTACTTCTAACCCAATGCTACACCATTTGGATCCACAAGTGACCCCAAAGGAGAAAGATAGACAGTCTTCCAATGCAGGGTAACTATAACTTGAGAGCAAAGTGGGGCCAGTGAGAAGGGCTGAAGCGCAGCCAAGGCTGTGAGGAAGGTGAGGGACCAGGCAAGCATTCTGTCTGTTAGCATAGGGTCTCTCTAGCTCTAAATTGACTCCACAGCGCCTAATACCATGAAGGGAAAATGCATTTAGGCATATCTCCAGGTGACAAGCAGGGATGGGCCTCCAAACCACCCACACATTCACACAGCTCTCAGGGACCCATGGGGAGCAACAGGGAACACAGTGTGTGCAGGGCACCTAAAGATCTTCGTTCTGTTCCCAATCATGTGAGGGGAACATTTTATTGTGTCCTCTCTTCCAAATCAGGGAGATCTTATTCAAATTTGGGTAAAACTGAAGGAAGAAGAAGGGGGAAACAGTGTTGGCAATAAATCACAGAGGGACTGGAGTTCTCTAAGAAAAGGCAGAACTTTCAAGTTCATGGATGAAGAAGACACACCTGGAAATGAAGTTGAAAGGTAGCTAAGCAGTCCGGTAGGTACTAGGCAATGTACGGGCCAAGACTTCAGAAGGAAGGAGGAGTTTGTAAGGCTGCGTTAATTCTAGTCAGAGCTGCCAGACAGACGGGATCATTACAACCACACAAACTGTCCCGGGGGAGAAGGGAGACTACGCACCAGTAAAAGCTGGGAGGTTTGGAGGCATGGGGAGCCATTGAAGGACTTCCACACAAACCTCCTGGTCTGAATCCCCCCACCCACATGCCGGCAACTGCAGGATTAGGTCTGCACCCCACTTCCTATGGGCCTCAGAGATATGCACATGGGAAGCAGGATGCTGCTTGTGAAAGGCACCCAGGGAGACAGTTGGCAGCAACACAAAGCTTCATGAAATCCTTAAAGCCAACAAGACGGAACAGAACAGGCCAGAGGGTACAGCCAAAAACCTGTTGTTTCCTCACCTCTTCGAGGATCGTACAATATAAAGTCAATCAAATAATTGTTACACAAGCAACAGTCTAGGGAGGATTATGTAAATGGAACCGGTGTCTGTTGGCAAATCGGACTCCTGAATTCCAGCCTCAGGAGGTTCTCAGGTCAGCAAGCAGGGGCCCAGGAGATGGCTGAGATGTTTGGCTTTGCATAAAATTAAACCCCACCCAGACCCTCCTGTAAAACAAGATTCTTCCACCCACCACGAGACCGGCACTGCAGAAAGGGCATTCTGGACAGCACTCTCTCTCTCTCTTGCTCTGGTTAGGAGCGGAACAACACACTCTTGGACTAGGCTGTGTTGATGTTATATGCCATCTGCGACTCATAACAACCCATTAGCTCTGAGTCCTGCCCTATCCTGAACCAATCTCACCATCTCCAACAGACCTAATTCCATTTCTCCAGGCACTGAGTCAATCCATGTCATCCTAGGTCTTCCTTTCCTGCGCTGTCCCTCCATCTTTCCAAGCATGATGTCCATCTCCAAGAACCGGTCCCTCTTGGCGTCACGCCCAAAGTAGGGGAGAGACAGAGCTTCAAAATCCTTCCCTCCAGGGCGCAGCAGCTCCTTTGTGAGTTAAGTTTTGTGGATAGCAGTATCAGGGACCTTCAAAATTCACTCCAGAACAGGATGCTCATGTAGAGGAAAATGAAGAAGTTAGGAGGCCTGCTAAGCATCCACTGCCCCTCCCCACCCCACCCCAGACTTGAGACCCACCTCAGGTTACAGGGTTCTGGCCTTCTCGTCCCTCAGGAGCCGGTGCTGGTGCTGCCATGATGATGGTGGCTCTATCATTCTCTGTCCTGTCTAGACAGCTCCGGCAGCACTGGTGCTCATTTCTCAAAGCTTTTGCCTACTCAGGATTTCAGTTCCTGCTTATCTGCCCCCTCTCTTGACTTCTGTACAGATCGAGACTCTTTCATTCAAACTCCCTAAGACCAAGGGGGTTGATTGTTTGTTAAACTGCCTCATGGAGTGTTCTTATTATGCAGAAGCCTCAGAGGTTCTGAGTCAAGCATCATCCTCTCAGCCAAACTGCCAAAATAGAAGGTGTCTGCTGCACAAATCACAGCTTTCTTTGTGTCATGGACTATCTGCAGTTCTGCCTGTGATGGGGCTGTAGGCAAGTAAAACATCTGTACTGGGACAATCTCAGCTTCCTTACCTGCCTGCCATTCAGATTTCTTTTCATAAAGGTAAGATGCAAAGGCCCTGGATAAAAATCAAGCCATTGTAAGCCAAGCTTAAAGACAAGAGTGATGCATTGCTAGGTGGCACAATGGTTAAGCTCTTGGCTATAATGATACCACTAACAGCACCAAAAAGTAGCAATCTGCATCATCAGGATATCCTTGGCAGAAATGACACCAAAGTAATTGTCTATGAAGGTTTTGTGCAGTGGTTCCACAGAAATTCATTATTTTTTATTTTAAAAAAATCCTTGTATAGAAGCAGAACAAAAGGTGTGTCGCAATGAGAAAATCTACTGTCAAGAACTGCTCGAAAATGATAAAGAGCAAGGATGTCTGTTTAAAGACTAAGGTGCTCCTGACCCAAGCCATGGTATTTTGAATTGCTCCTTATATATCTGAAAGTTGGACAGTGAATAAGGATGACAGAGGAAGAATTTAGGACATTGAATTGTGGTGTTGGAGAAGAGTACTGACTATTCCATAGACTACCAAAAGAATAAACAAATCTGTCCTAACCATAGCCAAGGTGTTCCTTAGAGGCAAATTAGTGAAACTTCATTTCATGGTTTTGGCAAGTTGTCAGGAAGGTTCAGGTCTTAGAAAAACACATCAAGCTGAGAAATATGGAGGATCAGAGAAAGAGAGGAAGACCCTCAACAAGATGGACTGACACAGTGACTGTAAAAATAGGCATATTGTGAGGATGGCATCAGACAGGGCAAGGTACAGCTCTCTTGTTCATAGGGTCACTATGAATTATAGTTCACTCAATGGCAAACAACAATAAAACATATGAACCGACATATCCACATATATGTTTATTACAAGAAGCCCTGGTGGTCTAGCATTAAGGAGCTGTACTGCCAACCTGAAGGCGCAAGGTTCAAATTCACCACTTGCTGTGCAGGAGAAAGATGGGCAATCTCATCCTGTGCAATTTGTTGTTGATTCCCTTTGAGTCAAGCACAACTCCCAGTGACCCTATGAACGAAAGGCCTGAA